TAACCGATTTCATCCGTAGTTCCACGGCGTGCTTGAACAACATCATCAGTGCATGGTATCATGGCGAAAAGGAAAGAGACTTCAACACATTCGATGCGTTGCGCCCAAGGGTCATTATCCGATAACTCTTGATTTCCAGCATTCATACGAATCCATACATCAACGGCCTTGACACAAACAACCCAATCGTCAACCATGCAATGCCATGTTACTATATGGACATAGGCGAGAAGAATTTGTAGGCAGTGTCGAAGAGGCGCTGGAGGAACACATGGATACCTTTGGACAGTGGGAATTTGAAAGCAACGTAGATATGATCAATGCAGGACTCATGCAGATAATCAACAATGTTGCGACCAGGATGCTCACTGAGGCGCCTGGCTACACTGAGGACAAGGGCAGCACCTTCAACATGAGCGCGCAGGTCAGCAAACTACTTGAGCAGAGACGTGAAGCCAAAAAGAATGAAGTCTCGAATGAAGATCTATGCGTCGAGATTGCGCGTATCAGCAGAACACTCAAGAAGCGCAAGCAGGAACTATCTGAAGGACGACTTCAAGACAGAGTCGAGGCTTTGTGGGAAGCATGGCGAGAGAGGAAGTTCCATGATGCACACAGGATAGCCAGACTTATCGCGGGGCAGCGCAGAGGACCTCGAGGGCGACACTACAGCAGGGTACCCACGTCTCGAGCATCAGCCATAGAATGGATCAGCCAGTTTCAGAAAGCAGGTACAAGTGGAGGCGCCAATGCCAGAGTACTTCATAGAAAGGAGGCGCCAACTATCACCACAGGATTCTGGAGACAACCATTTGATGATGGACAACAATCTGAACGGAGGCATTTTTCCCCATCGCATTTGAAATGGATCAACGAACCAGAAGATGAAATCGACTATCAAGCGGCACATCAAGACGCTATCCATGACGTAGGGAGATTACGCAAGGCGATACGCAAACTCCCCTCATGGAGAGCTACACCCTCATGGAGCATCTCGAGTGATCTTCTGAGAGTCATGATGGACCCCAACTGGTACTACAAGAAATCAAAACGACAGGGACTTCGAAGCGCAGAGGATGATGAAGAAAAACAAGGTCAGGAACGGGGGTTCTCCGTCCCGTCGGGCGGAGTCGGCGCCAGCCCTGATCGTCTCGAGACAATCCAGGAGATTGGCCGTAAGGGCCCTGCTGGAGATCAGAGGGAAGCGTGTAACCGCCCGGCTAATCAGGAGATGAGAGTCGCCACGTTGGACGGAGTTGTACGAGCGTCCACAAGGGAACTTGAAGGAGCACAGGATGACGATCCCATCCCTCGACCAGGTGAGGCCCTGGAAGAACAGCGAGGCCTGGGAGCACATGATGAGGCTGAGGACGAGAACAAGGCAGACTTCAACAAGATCAAGGCTCCCAACTTTGAGAGATGCGTCTGCCTTCTGTGTCGCACGATCAGACAAGCAGGAAGAGCGCCAGCGGTATGGCATCAGGCACAATGTTGTCGACTCCCCAAGCACAGCGATAAGCTGAACACGGCGGGAGAAAGGCCCATCATGATATTCTGTGGGCTTGGCAGATCTTACTACCGATCGATGATGAAATCCAATGCCACATTTCCGTGCTGGGCGCACGGTGGAATTGCTCACAGAAGAAGGGAAGATGCGATATTGGTACAAATGTGTGGACCTGCCAGGCTTCGAAGGGCAGGATTGAACCACATCACGCGATTTCATGATGCCAGTAATGCTTTCTACTGTATTCATAAAGAGCACGCCGAAGAGGCGGCAGACGAGCTAGCCATTTCAGATCGAGTGGATTTGTTATATCAAAGAATTCAGAACAGCACCTTCACGGTTCAATCAAAGTGGAGTGCTACCAGGAGATCACGCGGCCACAAAGTTGTTTGTGAAGGCTCACGGTGCAGGAACACAGCAGCTCATCGACACCATGGACACGGCACCCCTGGCAGAGAGCGCTGCACATGCAACTTCCTGCCCCACTTCGAGGGCCACAAGACGAGAGCGTCACGGACCTGAGCACCTCGGTCTTCGTGGACGACGTGGCCCGCAAGATCGTGGGCGCCAACGCGGCGCACTTGTCTGAAGCGGCGCAGTGGGAGAACGAGGTGGTCGACAGACTTCTCCACGAGATCGGAGGAGTGCAAAATAAGGAAAAACAAACAAACATAGTCCAGGGAGCAGGCCGACAATCAGGAATATTAAATCGCCAGTTTCATGAGCATCGGGTTCCTCTCCAAGGGCATGTTCTCTCAGAGGCGAGGTATATTGGGGGCAGACAGCATTGCAACAATGGGTTCTCGGCAGAGAAAAAGTACAGGATTCAGGCCCTCAAGACAGCCTGGCACAAAATGGGTAAGTTCTGGTCTACTCCGAAAATCTCGATGAGGTTCAAGGGCATTGTTTTCACGGGGTTGGTCCTGAACGCGGCGCTCTCGGGGTTAGAAGCCTTCGTCCTCAACATGCGGAGCCCGATCACCGAACGGTCCCTGGAGCCCCTGCAGCAGTTAGTCTACAAATACGCGAGGGTAGTGCTTCGAGGAAAATACACCTCCAGAAGTCGAGATCGAGTTCGAGCCCCACCTAATCAAGAAGTTCGAAGGCATCTCAAAATAGGAACCCTCTTCACCGAGTTGAGAATCAGGCGTCTCAAGTGGCTGCAGGACATCGTTTGGAACCAGAAGGCACATGAGCAGGTGATCGCAGCGTTAGTAGGCAGAGCTTTTTGTGAAGATGTGCCCCTTGAACTCGACTCTCACGGCAAGGTGCTCCCAACGGCCAACCCCTGGCTGAAGCAGTTCTGGCAGGACATTCTGGCGCTCGAGGGGACCGCGAGAGGCCCAGAGCTTCTAGAGGAGATAGAAGGGAATGTTTTAGGTTTGTTCTTAGGAGAAGGAAGAGAAATTTTCAGAGCGATAGATGTAGCTGAATTGAGGTCTGTCGAACTTGCGAGGACGGTTCCCCCACCGGCGTGTCTGGGCGGGATCGGGGGCACTGCGGCCCCCCCTCTTCAGGAAGAGCAAGGCGATACACCTCAATTGCCTGTCCAGTGCCCAGTTTGCGAGGAAGTGTTTCCTGATCAGAAGAGCATGGTCACTCATTGCGTGAGAATTTGTGCGAGAGGGCGAGAGGACACAGAAAAGATCCTGAGGCAGACATGTGCCACGGACAGGATCCCTCACATCGCCACGTTGTCGAACTATTGCATTCCCTGCCAAAGTAACTTCTCGGATCGTGCCACCGCTCAGTGGCACCTTGCAGCATCAGTGAAGCATCAGAGATGTGTTGTAGATTTTTCGGTGCGAGCTCCGCAGAGGAAAGTCCACACCGCCACGCAATGCCCGCTGTGCCTTTTTGTTGCTCAGACTCCTGACCTGTTAGATCAGCATCTAGCGAACACTCACGTCTTGCCTTCTATTGAGAACTTTTCGATCACCATTGATGCCGCGGTGGGTGTCGGCGGTCGAGGCGGTAGAGAAGATTGTCAAGCCAGAGGAACAGTTGACCAAGAAGGCCAAGGGCGGCGGCAAGAATGGAGGAGCGCAGGACACCAAGCTACTACTGCAGCTGGAAGCTCGCATGAGAGAGAGAGAGAGAAGCGTCAGACGACCACTTCAAAGGCCCGGCGGGCCACCCTGTCTTTTTGGCCATCAAGGAAGCGACCACCAAGTACGAGAAGCTCGTCAAGGAAGCGGGCGCAGGACACGAGTTCGGGTCACCTCACCTACATGCAGCAGGAGCGATGATCGCCACCGTCGCCAGCACGTCCACCGAGGGCAAAAACGAGGAAATTCAGTGCATCTTCGCAGCAGTCAAACGGCTCGACGAATTCAGGGAGGCGGGCAGCCCATCAGACTTCGAAGACTCGCGCGCCACATGCAGGTCAAGCGAGCTCCAAAGCAAACAAGGAGTTCAACCCACATCACGCCTTTCATTCAACTTCGAGGGACACTGGCCCGTGGCAAAGAATCTTGCAGAGGAACAGCAGATCGTGGCACAGAAGGGCAAGCATCATCCACAGGAGCTCGACACAGCGGGCAACTTCACACTCGTCAGAGTGAACCGTCTGATCTGCCTGTGCTTGCGCGCGAGCGGGCTCCAGAAGATGCCAGGGAAGGCACCGATCGGGGGGCTTGCCTACGGAATTCGAGGAAAGCAGTGAGCCAGAGCAGAGCAAAACATGTACCAGGAGGAGTAGGTAGTAGCAGCAGAGCAGGTCAGGAGTCCTTTACACAAGTTTTTTTGGATAGCGGCCTTGAGCCGAGGCAGCGGCCCCCCAACAGCCTCCAGGGATCGACTCCTCCTCCTCGGTCGGGTTCGGAGCCTCCCTCCCTCGCCTACCTTCGCTCGCTCAGTCGTCGACCCTGGGAGGATAGATTGGAGGAGCTCCGATTGCGAATCCAGCGAAGAGAAAACTCTCGCAACCAAGTTTAGTAAGCGCCCCCGCGCCTAGACGCCACTGCTAGCGCTGCGCGCGCAATGGCAGCGGTGTCTGGCCTTGCGCTCCCACATAATATAAGGCCCCCTGGAGTGCAAATACCAGGCTCTGCGGTACCCCTAGAGTAGCTCTCTTGTGGAGTGAATGGATATCGATGCAGATGAGTCAGTCAGTCAGTCTCCTCCTCCTCCTCCTCCTCCTCCTCCTCCTCATCTGAGTCGGCTTGCGCTGCCCCTGCAGGCTCCTCGAGCGGCCTCCCTGGGCGTCCTGCGGGCCGAGCGGGAGCTGCGGCACAGGGCGGCGCAGGGCTCGCCCCGTAGGGAGCCGCGCCCGTGCGGAGAGCTGCTGGGGAAACCCAGAGGCGCCCAGACTGGGAGGAGGAGGGGGAGGAGGAGGAGGAGGAGGAGGAGGAGGAGGAGGAGGAGGAGGAGCAGGAGCAGGAGGAGGAGGCAGGTGGAGGCAGGAGGAGAGGAGGAGCAGAAGGAGGAGGAGGAGGAGGAGGAGGAGGAGGAGGAGGAGGAGGCAGGAGGACTCGCTCCCAGGCGCGCCGTCCTGCAGGTAGAAGTCTGCGTCCACCTCCTCCCGCCTGCTGCGCTCGCGCTCCTCCGTCCTCGAGGGGACCGCCCGCGGGGCCCCCGGCGTGGTGGTGGGAGCCGAGGTCGGTCGGTGACCGCGCCCCGCCCTCTTCCTCCGCTCTGTCCTCCTCATCTTGCCTCCCCTTCTCCTCCCACTCTTCCCCCCCCACCTCCTCCTCCTCCTACCTCCTCCTCCTCCTCCTCCTCCTCCTCCTCTGCCTCTTCCTTCCTCCTTCCTCCTCCTCACGCCTCCTCCTCCTCCCCTCCTCCTGCCTCCCTCCCTCCTGCCCTCCTCCTCCCCTCCTCCTGCCTCCTCCTTCCCTGCCGTCCTCCCTCCTCCACCCTCCTCCTCCTCCTCCTCCTCCTCCTGCCTCCTCCGTACCTCTTTCCCACTCTCCTCCTCATCCTCCTCCCCTCCTCCTCCACCTCCTCCTCCTGCCAATCCTCCTCCTGCCTCCTCCTCCACCTCCCACTTTCTCCTCCTCCACCTCCTCCTCCTGCCTCACTTCTCCTCCCCCTCCCCCTCCTGGCCTCCTCCTCCTGCCATCCTGCCCCCCCCTAGACGCCTCCTCCTCCTCCTCCTCTCCTACTCCTCCTCCTCCTCCCTCACGCCTTCCCTCCTCCTCCTCCTCCTCCCCTGTCCTCCCCCTAACGTAACCCCCCACTTCTCCTCCTCCACCTCCTCCTCCTGCCTCCTCCTCCTCCTCCTCCTCTTGCCTCCTCCTCCTCCTCCTGCCTGGTCATCCTGCCTCATCCTCGTCTTCCTCCTCCTCCTCCTCCTCCTCCTTCTCCTGCCTCCTACTTCTGCTACCGCCTCTACCTCCTGCCTCCACCTTCTACCTCTGGGGACTCCCGCCTCCTCAGCATCCTCCCTGCTCCATCCACCCTCTCCCTCCCACTCCTTCTCCACTTCGTCATCGCCATCGCACGCTGCTGGCAATTTCGGCTCTGCATTCGAAGCCACGTCCACTCGCAACGAGCGGTGATCCGCGCAAGAGTGCACAAGCACATTCAAGTCTGGAGCCAATGACTGCCCCCACTGGTCTTTTCCGTCTTCCTCTGGAGGAAGAGAGAACTACGCAGACAGAAATTGTCGGAGCTCCGCGCGGATTCCTTGGATCGGCATTGGACCCCTCGTTCCTTGGATTGGCGCCGCCAGCGGAGTCACAGCGCAGATCCACGAAATCCGCGCGGACCTTCGAAGTGCATGTGTATGCCGTTGTTTGCTGTTCAATTCCCCTCCCTCGTTGTAATCGCACGGACGTTCATGCCCTGTGCATTGTTTCGTGCGCACTGTGGTTTATCGGGATGGTCCAAGAGACTCCAAGATTATCCTGATGTTCTGGCGATGGTCTTGCCGCGAATAAAGCACATGTCCGAGCGATTCCAAGCCTCACCTTTTTGGGTTGAGCGGACTCTAGGTGCAAGCCTGTAGCGCCCGTGTGTGGCAAGGCAGGCTAAGCAGAGCAGGGGATGCGAGGAGGCACTGGAAAGTGGAGAAGCCCGAGAAGGCATTAGTATTAGACCTGCAGGCGTCAGCAAGGCATTCCCCTCCCACAAATCCGCAACATCAAATCCACATCCCCCCGATACCTCCCATGGCAAAAAGGAAGAACAAACAAAGGCATGAACATGAACTGTTGGAGGTCCGCGAGGATTTCTTGGATCTGGGCTGAGCCACCCTCCCTGGCGCGCGGAGCGCGCCGCCAAGAGGGGCCAGCACGGATCTCAGAAATCCGCGCGGCGCGCCCAAAAAAAATGTCTATGGCGTTGCCTCGCCCCCTGTCGGCCGCGTCCTCCTCCCGCTCCCCCTCTTGCATGGTGGCACAATCTGCCCTGACGGCACCCCCGCTCAGACCTTTTCCGCCAGCGCAGACATCCCCTGCCTCGCCGCCGACGCAAAAAGTTATGGCGTCATTTCTTCTTCGAAATTTATGTTGTTCCCATCGCACTTAGAACCGCATCCCAAAAACATTTCGAAGACCCGGACAACTGTCGAAAGGGTGTCGAAACGGTGTCGAAGGAGTGTCGGACGAGTCTCCGAGGGCCCGACACGTGAAAACCTTTGAAGTTCGGCCCTTTTTTTTCTGGCGCTCGACATTCTTTCTGGCGATCAAAGCTAAAGTCGGCCGGAACATCATAATTCGAAATGCCCCCCATGGCAAAAGCCCACGTAGCTGATTTTCCCGGCGCCCCACGGCACCTGAGGCGGCTGAGTATCGAGGAGTGGGCTCCTCGGTGGGGCCGAAACCGGCTGCATGCAACAGTTTTCGTAACACCCCCCCTTTCCCAATCCCCCCCTTCCCTCCGGCCCGAAAAAAGGCCATGGCGTTCTTTCTTCTTCGAGATGCCTCACATGGCCAGGGCCCAGGCCTCCCTTCTTCGCCCTCCTCCTCGAGGCCTCAGCGGGGGCACCCTGGATGAAGGGGCCGCAGGACACACAAATAAACACACACACGCAACTATCCCAGCAACGCAACCTAACAGCAATGTGTATGAACATATATGGAAGCATTCTTCTTTAGATGCACGTTCGGATTTGACTGGAAGCGAAACGCTACGATCAATAGTGGGCGTGTCTGCAAAGGAGGCACTACTATCAACGAGACAGCACATTCTTTTTGTGCTCATTCCAAACGCGACGCTGCTATGCAAGGGTGTAGGTGCAAACGAGACGCTGCTATCAATGGTTCCCGCCCCAAACGAGACACGAGTATCAATGGATTTAATTTCGAACGAGACACTACTACTTACTACTACGGATGCGTCTGGCGCGGCCGCAGACGCGGCTCGGTCCCTCCCCGCAGGCTGAGAAGCACCGCGGGGGCCCGAAGATGGGGACGAGTCTCGCGGCGAGGCGAAGGCCATTGCAATGTAGACTGCGCAGGACAGGCACCTTGTGGCGAGGGGCATTGGAATGTCGGAGACACGTTCTGGACCAAAGACGGCTATCAGAGGCAGAGGGGAAATTTGATTGTATTAAAGAGTGCGGGAAGCTTCGAACGCCTCAGTAATAGCGCTAAGAACCCAAGGACGGCAAGCAAAAGGTAGCCCGGAAATGGAGGTCTGGGAACTCGATGAACACGAAGTTTCCGACAGTTGGCTCCAGACATTCAAAATGTATCCCGGGAATGGAGTTCTGGGAACTATGTGGCCTGGGAATGGAGTTTTGGGAACCTCGACGAACACGAAGTGGCCTACAGTTGGATCTGGGCATTAAAATTGTGGCCCTACTACTACGACTACTACTACGACTACTACTACGACTACTACTACTACTACTACTACTACTACTACTACTACTACTACTACTACTACCATTAAAATTGTGGCCCTACTACTACGACTACTACTACGACTACTACTACGACTACTACTACTACTACTACTACTACTACTACTACTACTACTACTACTACTACCACTACTACGATTCCTACTACGACTACTACTACTACTACTACGACTACTACTACTACTACTACTACTACTACTACTGCTACTAC